TTTATTTATTTATTTATTTATTTATCAAATGTGAATCACCACTGAAATTAATATAAATTACCTCAAAAGTACAAAGATATCTCATACTTAAAATGTAAGATGCTGTTACTGTTAAAGATTTATTATTATTATTATTATTATTATTATTGCAAAATAGATAATTTATATATATATAATTATTATATCTAAAGAGAATCTAATGAAAATAATCGGAAATAGGCCAAAAATAAATAAATTAAATAAATGAATAAACAGGGCACTTTTAACACAATACCTCCAAAAACATAAAAATACCTAATATTTTACATTAAAGTTTTTTTGTTTGTTTGTTTGTTTTTATAACCAAAATGAAAACTGAAACATTTCAATTACTGCACCAGCTGTTTGGAAATAATGCTACATTACTCCTTTTTGTGCATTTGTCCACTGAAAATGTAAATATCCTAACAGATGAGTGACGGTAAAACCTAAAACGTACCACTATTTTCTCCAAAAATGAAATGCGAGAAGCAAGCACCCTCTTCCTTCCTGCCACAGACAGAATAATAGCTTCCCGCAGCCGTCTGATGCCCTGATGAAGAGCTGCAAACACACTGACGTCTGACTTTCACTGGAAAACACTGGCATTACAGCAGCTTGACCTCTGATCTCTCAGCACCTGCCTGAGTGTTTGCATCCAAGAAATCAATCTCCTGTTGAATCTCCAGAACCCTGAATCACAACTAGACTCCGTCCGCAGCTTAGCCAAGCACCTAAAACAGAGACGCATGCAGGAGTGTGCAAGAAACATCAAGGTCTGCGTTTGAGTCCACTATCCTCAGAGATTACAGCGAAAAACAGGAACATCGCACAGCTTTGAAATGAATAGATCGCGTTTCACTCAAAGGCTCTTCTTCTTTCAGAAAAACTGAATTACATCAAAAGCGAGAAACTTCTGAGGCCTTCACAGGTTTAATTTGACGGCACAGAAATGTAAGAGCGGGAAGGAGAGCGAGACTGTAAAAGTAATTACATGAAAGATGAAAGGTGTCACACCTGACTCGAAAAATGAGTCAAGTGTTAATTTGTCCGGTTGAGATGTAATGATTAGTAGCGGGAAATGACTTATTAGCAAATCACAGTCAGGCTTTCAAGTGCAAAGCAAAAGTGTCTAAATATTAGCCAAACCAGATCATTGCTGGCAAGGAATATGTATCATTATTTAAAAACAGAAAGTAGTAAAGTAAGCACATTGCAGCCATATCTGAACATGTCGAGGTCATACTGCACCTAATCAAAATAAATTATACTTTGCATGAAGAAAATTAGGCCTTTTATTTAAAGGAAAAATATTCACTTTCTTACTAACACTAGCAAAAAGACTAACTGGAGGAAAAAAATCATACTTTAATTTATTGTTTTCACTAGCGTTCACAAGTTTGGGGTCGGTAAGATTTATAAGTGTTTCTGACAAAAGACTCTTCTGCTCACCAAGGCTGCATTTATTTGATCAAAAAT